CCCAGCTGACAAATTTGACTAAACAGAATGTTCCATTTGTATGGTCGAACGAAGGCTTCAGAAAGCTTCAGAAACTCAAGACCTTGTTGACTACTGCACCAATTCTTACCTTGCTAGTGGAAGGTAAGAATTTTATTGTTTATTGTGATGCATCTTATTCTGGTTTGGTGCAGTGCTAATGCAGGAAAGGAATGTAATTGTTTATGCTTCGAGGCAATTAAAAGTGCATGAACGTAACTATCCAACCCATGATTTGGAGTTGGCTACAGTTGTATTTGCATTAAAGCAATGGAGACATTATCTATATGGGGTCAAGTGTGAAGTTTATACAGATCATCGTAATTTACAGTATGTCTTTACTCAAAAAGATTTGAATTTGAGGTAGCGGAGGTGGATGGAACTATTGAAGGACTATGATATTAATATTTTGTATCACCCAGGAAGAGCTAATATTGTGGCAGATGCTTTAAGTAGAAAAGCATGGAGCATAGGTAGTTTACCCACTTACAGGTTTCTAGACGCCCATTGGCTAGAGAGATTCTGACTTTGGCTAATGACTTTATATGGCTAGAAGTACTAGAGAAAGGAGGATTTTTGGCCTGTGTAGAGGCAAGATCTTCTTTTCTTGACAAGATTAAGGGAAAGCAGTTTGCTGATGAGAAGCTGAGCCGAATTCGAGATATGGTATTGCGAGGAGAGGCTAAAGAGGCAATAATTAATGAGGAAGGCGTTTTGAGAATTAAGGGAAGGGTATGTGTGCCTCGTGTTGATGATTTGATTCACACTATTCTTACAGAGGCTCATAGTTCAAGGTATTCTATACATCCTGGTGCAACCAAGATGTATCGTGACCTAAAGCAACATTTTTGGTGGAGTAGAATGAAGCGTGACATTGTTGATTTTGTTGCCCAATGCCCGAATTGTCAGCAAGTAAAGTATGAACACCAGAGGCCCAGAGGGAAACTTCTGAGAATGCCCATTCCTTAATGGAAGTGGGAAAGAATTGCAATGGATTTCGTGGTTGGTCTTCCAAAGACATTGGGTAAGTTTGATTCTATTTGGGTAATTGTTGACAGGTTAACTAAGTCTGCTCACTTCATTCCGGTCAAGATGACTTACAATGCAGAGAAGTTAGCCAAACTCTATATCTCAGAAATTGTTCGATTGCATGGAGTTCCACTTTCCATCATATCAGATAGTGGTACGCAATTTACTTCTAAGTTTTGGAGAACATTACATGCTGAATTAGGTACTAGGTTGGATTTTAGTACTGCATTTCACCCTCAGACCGATGGTCAGTCTGAGCGAACAATTCAGGTGTTGGAGGATATGCTTCGTGCATGTGTGATAGAATTTGGTGGTCATTGGGATAAATTCTTACCCTTAGCAGAGTTTTCATACAATAATAGCTATCACTCAAGTATTGATTTGGCCCCATTTGAGGCGCTATATGGGAGGAGATGTAGGTCTCCCATTGGTTGGTTTGATGCATTTGAGGTGAGACCTTGGGGTACCGATCTTTTGAGGGAATCGTTAGATAAAGTAAAATTCATTCAGGAGAAGCTTCTAGCAGCTCAGAGTAGGCAGAAAGAATATGCAGATCGAAAGGTTAGGGACTTGGATTTTATGGAGGGTGAACAAGTCTTGCTGAAGGTTTCACCCATGAAAGGTGTGATGCGGTTTGGTAAGCGAGGTAAGCTTAGTCCGAGGTATATTGGTCCATTTGAAGTTCTGAAGCGCGTGGGGGATGTGGCCTATGAATTGGCATTGCCTCCAGGGTTGTCAGGAGTGCACCCGGTATTTCATGTGTCTATGCTGAAAAAATACCATGGTGATGGGAATTATATTATTCGTTGGGATTCAATTCTTCTTGATGAGAATCTGTCTTATGAGGAAGAGCCTATTGCTATTCAAGATAGGGAGGTCCGCAAGTTGAGATCAAAGGAGATTGCATCTATCAAGGTTCAGTGGAAGGATCGGCCAGTTGAAGAGTCCACATGGGAGAGTGAGGTCGAGATGAAGGAAAGATATCCACATCTTTTTACAAATTCAGGTACTCTTTCTCGCCCTCCCCTTTTATTTCTGTGATCGTTCGAGGACGAACGATGGGTAAATTGGTATCTACTGTAACAACCCAATTAGTCGGTTTGAGCAGTAGAATTATTTTTGATAAATACTTACTAGGTCGACGGACCACGCGACGGATCGTCATGATCACGACGGACCGTCATGGACTCCGTCGTCCCATACTTGTGCAATTTCTTCTGCTGCTCTCTTCACTACCCTCGACGGCAAGTATGACGAACCGTCATAGGCACAACAATCCGTCGAGCGTTTTCATTCCAAAACACTTCAACTCTTGGAATCTGCGTACTGGATTACTTCTCTGAACTTCGTGACGAACCTGCAGGACGGACCGTCATAGATACGACGGACCGTCACAAGCTGCGTAACTCCACACTTGGTCGGACTTCCGCTAAATTTTAAATGGGTGTTTTGGACTATTCATAATTATAATTATGAAATTAGTGGGGTAATTTTAATAACTTATTTAGTTGGTGGTTAAAGAAGATAATAGTGAAATAAATAGTGGGTTACTTTTATCATTTTTTTAATATAATTGATTATATGATAATTAGGGTAAAAAGAATCTGTAGAAGAAAAATAAAAAGAGCAGAAGAGGAGAACAAAAGAGAGAGATTGAAAGAAAGAAGCAAGCAAGCGACTTAGACTTCAGATTGAAAAGGTTCATAGACACTGAGGAAGGCAAAGGCATTGGAGAGGTAGCTTGCTTGATTTTCAGTTCTTCGATGGAGGTAGGTTATGGTTTATTTCTATGTGATAGATAAACTCTAAATAGAGATCGATATGTATTGAGTGATATTGTAAAGTCTCCTATGTACTTGATTGTGTGGTTGTATGCTTTGATTGTGTGGTTTGTGGTTGGCCTAAAATTATGAGACTGTTGAATTTCTAATCTTGAACCCTCTCTATTAAAATGACGCCTCGAATAAAGAAGGCTTGATGAAATAAATAATGAGATAATCGGATCGGAGTGTCACGTTCTGACACGATTTTATGAGACCGGAGTGTCACTTTCCGACACGATAACATTAAAGGAAAGGAATCTTGAATTATCTTAATATACTCAAATTCAAAGAACCTATTTCCCAAATGAGTATGGTGTGGAGGCATGAGTCCTCATAGGTGTGCTTGATGTTGTGATTTATGGTGTACCTATTATGGTGTTGTTGTCAATGGTTCATGTGTTTGTTGTTTGCCACCTGTTAAGTATTGTAGTTGATTTTATATTATTATTCAATATATATTGTTTTCTATTTTGAGTTGGCCGATGATACCTACTCAGTACGTGTTCCTTGTACTGACCCCTACTTGTATTTTCTTCTTTGTTATTTTGTGGAGTGGAGCAAGTGTGCCATCGACTTCGACTCGCCCTCAGCTCTAGCCAGTCTTCAGCACATCAGAGTTCGGGGTGAGCTATTATTCCTAGCTCATGCTGGATTCTCTCCTTCACGTTTTGATGTCTTTGAATTTCGGACATGGACCATCTTTTTACTTATTTTGGTTTCTTAAATACTCTTAGACTTGGTAATTTGATGATAGATGTTCTTGATGTGATGACTTCCAGATTTTGGGGATAATAAGTGTTAAACTTTAGAAGCTTATTTACTTGGTTACATTAATAAGTTTGGGTCTTCCGCATTATTTTTGTTAATTATCGTTGAACTATTGCTAAATGTTGGGGTTTAGATTTGTTGGTTCGCTCACCTAGTAGGCTAAGTGTGGTGCCACTCACACTTAATAAGTAACCCAAGAATCAATTCAAACTGAACCAATCCGGATAAGTGATAGCACCAATAGATAAATATATACTCCCTCCATCCCATTTTATATATCATTCCTTTCTATAAATAATTGGTCCATATTACTTGTCATTTCATAAAATTAATGCATAACTTACCATATTGTTCTTTTTTTTTACTCTTGTGAGTTATTAGTCTTGAAAATATATATTTGATCAACTTAGAAAAATTAAATAAATTATTTATGTTCATTGGTTAAATTAATTCATATTAATTGATTCAAAACTTGAGTTTTAACGTAAATGCAAAGTAAAAATGTGACATAGAACCAAAAAAATATTATATTTCATTTGATTTAATTTAATAATCTAAAAATTATTAAATTCCGTGAACACCCCCTAATTTGGCTGACCGTGACTTACGAAGAGTGATGAGACAAGGGTTTCCCCATTATTGTCGTCAATTGCGCAGTGTATTGCTGCTAACTTCACTCATCTGCCCAAAGTCTACGCGTTTCAAAGCCCAACATTTTTCTTCCTGTCTTCTTTTGACATTAAATTCCGTGTGTGTGTGTATATATATATATATATATATATATATATATATATATATATATATATATATATATGTATATATATATATATAGATAGCATCATTTTAAATTTTATGTTTTTTATGAAACTAGTTAAGGTTATCATTGTAAATTTATTTAGTGTTTTCTTGAAATTAAACTTATAATAAATGAACATAAATTAATTTATTTTGATAATTTTATCAACCAGTGAATATATAAATAATTATTTATGTTGATCAAAATTCATACTTTCAAGAAGTATAAAATAAGAAGAATATTGTTATTGATGCATTAATTTTGTAAAATGACAGGTATTGAAAAGAAATATATATTTTTAGTAAGTACAACATCTAAATAAAAACTGATGAAGTATGAGAGAAGTATCGAAAATACTCTTAAATTTAGCTTGAATTATCAATTTCATCCACAAAATAAGTGATGGCCTTAAAGAACATTCTTTTGCTAGAGACTAAACGTCTCTAACATGAGTTGATATACTTCCAAATTATCACCATATTTAGGATATTTTCAATCTCTCAACTATTTATTATCACCATATTTTGAATATTTTCAATCTCTCGACTATTTAAGACAACTTATTATATCAAGTAAAATGAGGTACGTCTAAAATGAGTCTGTCAAAAACACTATTTTAAGTCCATCAATAATGTCATTACTTCCTCTCTTTTATATATAGTACCATAACCTTCCGCCCCTTTATTTATTTCAACATCTTTGTCACAGTAGTGGGAGAGTAGAGTAGCTTAAGTAGTTCCGACCGACAAAGAGGAGAAGAAAAATGGAGGAAGAACAAGAGTATCTTTTCAAGATTGTGGTGATTGGGGACTCTGCCGTTGGCAAATCCAACTTGCTGTCCCGTTTTGCCCGTGATGAATTTGACCATAACTCTAAGGCCACCATTGGAGTTGAGTTTCAAACACAAGTTGTTGAAGTTGATGGTAAGGAAATTAAGGCCCAGGTTTGGGATACTGCTGGTCAAGAACGTTTTCGGGCTGTCACTTCTGCTTATTATAGAGGCGCTGTTGGAGCTCTTATTGTTTATGATATCAGTAGAAGCACTACTTTCGAAAATATCAAACGATGGCTTGATGAACTCAACAGTAAGCCCCTTTTGCTTTCTTTGTATTTTTATTTATTGTTTGATCTGGATTCATTGCTTTGTTGATTTATGAACGCGAATAGCATTGCAATTTTCCCCGTCTTTTGGGTAATGGATTTGTTCATTTTTAGACCAATTACACGCGGGTTCTATCTACTTCTCAAAATTATGGGGGAAAAGTGTCCAGCAATCCCATAGGGGATATGCATTTTTTTATCAACTAAATTGCTTACCCAATTGTTTAGACATAGAAAATATAAAGGGTTATTGTCTGATTCTGCGGAAATAGCAGTTTGTGTACTATTTCATAAGCTGGTGTAAGAGTATCAATTGGTAATTATGCCATGGATTATATGGAAAAGAGTATCTATTATGCTGATGATTTCACTCCTGAGAACTGATTTTATTTGTAGGATCATGTGTTATTTCCTAACCTTCTCGAAGCTCATCATGTTGTAAGTTTGAGGCATTTGTTCATATTATGTGTTTACTGTTTTGGAGACAGCTGTCCTTTTTTTTAGGTTGGTGGTGGTAAAAATACTTTTGAATTCATTGTATCAAGACAAATTTGTGCTAGGTATGATTGCGAAAATGTAATGAAACTGGTAAGGCTATTTACGGATTTGAAATATACAGTTTTTAGAGAATTAGTTGTATCAATATTTAGGGTGAAGAGATTCCTATTCCAGCCTTTCCTGTGCTTCTGTGTCGCGAAGAAATGCAAACTATAAGTTTGAATTTTGGCATTGCGGAGGCTTTAAGGAGCATTGCTTTCCACTTGAAGTTGTGCTACCAAAAAGATTCTGCTTGTCTGATTTTCATACAACCGTCCCCATCTTATTTAAATTGAGTTGTTGAAGTGACTAAAATCTGAAGCTCTAACATCTTATGAGCTAATTTTCAAAAGAATCGCAGATTGAGATTTCCCATAGATAGCATGATGCTATATGATCTATGTTATTTTATTCAATTGTTCATAGGCTTCACATTATATATCATCTTGTTAGAAGACAATTTGCCTTATCCCCTCAAAATTTGAATCTTTGTGGATCTTCCCGCGCACTACAGCTCTGCACATACACTGCAGTATTCAACATGGTAACTCAAATATTTGAATAAATCCTCAATTGTTCTTCCTGCTATCATACCGGATGCTCAGATCAAAGTTTGTTTCTTTCAACTTGGAATCATACCCATATTAATTTTTTTGCCTTGCCCCTTTTTTGGATTTTTATCTGACACATCTTGAATGGTAATGCAGCCCACTGTGATACCACAGTTGCGAGAATGCTTGTTGGGAACAAGTGTGACTTGGAGAATATCAGAGATGTGAGTGTAGAGGATGGAAAAAACCTTGCAGAAGAGGAAGGATTATTCTTCATTGAAACATCGGCTCTCGACTCTACTAATGTGAAAACAGCCTTTGAAATTGTCATCCGTGAGATATACAAAAATGTGAGCAGAAAAGTACTCAACTCTGATTCATACAAGGCAGAATTATCTTTCAATCGCGTTAGCCTTGCCAATGGGACCGACATGTCAAAGCAAAAAACGTCGTGCTGTTCCAGCTAGTTTTGTTCCATAACTCATTATGTTGATCTTTTCTCTCTCTTTACCTTTCTATTCTTCTCTGCCCTCAATTTAAGCTGGGCAGTTGCTCAAGGGTGTGTCTTGTTTGCATTTAGTTAATTGTTGTATCACTTGCAGTCTTGCAACTAAGGGGAGCAGTACACAATAACCCCCAATAGGTTATAATTGTATTTTTGAGAAATAATTAACTCATCAAATTCTATTCGAGAGGTATTGCACAATGTGACCACTTTAAAGTTTTGATCATGTTAAAAAAAAAGTTGTGCTAGAACAGATTTGTGACCAAGTTGTGAGCAAGGACCTTGTATTAGCATTTCTTATAAAATCCTTCTATCGCCAAAATTTGGCTATAAATAAAAATGGTATTTATTATATCAGGTTTGTGATAATGAATCCTAGTTTAGCCGGGTCGTTAAAACTTACTGTGTAAAAAGTTTTTCTATTAAATTGGTACTTTGGTATACAACTTGATCTGATAGGAACATGAGTAGATAAGCTAGAAAGAGTACATCTATAGGTTTAAAATAAGGATTTTAAATTCACCTGGCGGGTGAATCACAGAAATGCAGAGGCGAACTCGAAGATTTTACAGGTTCAAACCATTGAACACATCGCCTTATCATAGTTTAACATTTTCAGCAATTCCAATGAATTTTACATAGATCTGTGTCTTGGCTAACAGTTTTATGAGCCCACGTCTATACTACTAGATTTGCTCCAACAGCCTAACAAATATAAACAAAGAATCTACTGAAAATCAACCATCATTAAATATTGAGTAGTTATAAGATTAAAAGAATGGCTACATATCCACGACAGATTAAGGCAACTAAACCTTCTATACACCCTATATAGTCCAGAAGATTTTATGGCTTCCTCAAAGCAGAAGCTGCACCCATGACAACAGCTAACACAAGGCCCAAACCAGCACCAAGTGAAGCACCAACAGCCGCAGCATTCAGAGGATTGACCTTTGTCTGAGCATCTTGAATTTCCACTGCTCTCTCCCGAGCCAATTCCACAAAAAGCCTATCTCTGGCGAACTCCTAGAGAAAACAAAACCACGCATCTGTGTCATGAACAACTGGGTGTTGGGGGGGGGGGGTTTAGGGGTGGGGAGGAGGATTAAGAAATTCACTTTCAACTCCTTACCAGTAAAGCAGCTTCTTCCTGGCTCCTAAGTACACGGTGGACAAGCTCACACAAAGCAGATACCCCATCAATGGGGAGAACAGCTGTTTTCTTCTGGAAAGGCCTCCGGACTAGTTCAAGTGGAGCAAAAATTAGCTTTTGGGCACCAAACATCCACTCTGGATCTTTCCCTTCTGTATACCAAGATTGAGAAGCACCAGCAGCACTAGATGTAACATAAGGACATGAATTGACAACCTCAGTTGTGCTAGGAGATGCTTGATATGCCTTCACAACCGCATTAATAGCTACCTTTTGCTGGTGAGCACTGACAGAAAACTTGTTTGTAATTGCAAGTATCCAAGGTATTCCAAGAGATTTTGCCTCATTAAGGAGAAGGCACATGGCAGGTTGTGGTTGCAAGGCATTTGAGTCGTTGTAGCGAGGAATTTTATGAGATAGGTTATGGACAAGTATAATCAAATCGGTTTTCTTACAAAGATCACGAATTCCTTTCCACAGATCATCCCTGAAATGTGTTGCCTCCATGTTCAGATTCTACAAAACAAAACATAAGGCCAAGACTTTGAGCACTTAAAATAAATAAAACCAAATAAATCCAAGCAATGACAAATAAAGCAGCTACCAATGAATACATGACCATCCAAGTAGAAAGACAATGTACGTGAGAAATTTTGTATTTTTATGAATTTCCTATTTAGGAACGTTTCCAAGGAAACTTGGCCAAAATATCTAAGATTGCTCAGACAAAATTCTTTCCCCTTTCATAGCTCCTGATTACCCACGCTCTCCAAACACTTGCTGCAATATAATGCTTGCATCTGGATACTGGAAGATGTATGATGTGTTTTTGTTTAACTAGGTATATTTTCCCACTCAAATGGCACCCAAGATATAACTTGCAAAATCATAACTCAATACAGGAATACCAAGCATACATAAATTGATTGACGAAAAAATTGCAAAATCAAAACTCATATTACACGAGCGGTGAGCGTATAAAAATAGATTACCAGAGAAAAGTTTCTCCTAAAAAAAAATCAAAGTTATGCCAAAACTTTCAAAGGTCTACTTTTCTTTCCTGGAGAAGGTGCATAGAATTACAATTTCCCCCTCAATTATGCAAAATCATCAAACATTCTCCCCCATCAGTTGGGGTCAAATGTACCCTGCAGTTGCCGAATGAGCTCAACTGCTCAAATATGCCCTTATTCACAGATTGAGTGTTAGTTGGTCCTAATAAGATTTTAAACATAGTGATTAGCAACTGAGGCTGTCATGAAAAAATTTCAACCCCATCCCTTTCCTTACCAGCTCTCCTCACCCCTCCAGTCCAACACCTTCATGAAAATAACTGCTGACTCACCGCCGGTCACTACCTCCTTCCACCACTAACTAAAGACGGCGTCCAACTACACAGATTTTTAAGAAATAACAAATCAAGAACCCCAAATTTATTCAGCACATTCCTCCTTCTGTAAGCATCTCCAAAATTACTCTATTTCCCAGTTACTGACCTGTCCCAAAGAAGGAAAAAAAAACTACTTTTTTCTTTTGGATTACAATTTTCAAGTAAAAATTTAATCTCTGGTTTGGAAATTATTGAAAATTGAAGAGTGTGCGACGGCGTGGGAATATAATACTTTATTTGTAAACCCCATTCGGTATGATTGTTTAGTGGAGGAGCAAATTTGAAAAAGGTGGGTTTCTTCTGAGTTTAATCCTGAAGCTCATACTGAACTAATTTTTTTGCTTCAGGTTATACATGTCTACATCTGGATTTTATGTCAAAAGGTTCAAACATTACGCATGGGTTTTTGATAAAGGTCTTGAATATCGATAAACTGCGGTTTCTTTGGATACGTTCAAGTATAATCGAACCTTGATCTGTAGTTAATGGTTTTCAATATCTTTCTTCATAGTTGGAATTTCTTTTAGTTGAAAACAAAATTGTTTCACCTTTCAGTGGAATAAGCTGATGACTATAGGCGGTTGAGTAATTCTCCATTTTCTGGAAATCCAATTTAACGAAGGGGAACAGAGGTGCCCTTGTAGTTGAGGTGATAGAAAATTTATTTTTGGGTCAACGGGTGGTCAATTTATTTAAGGTGGATTGGAGGAGATGAGGATAGAAGATGGTGGACAGCTGGGGATGAAATTGAGTTTATCCTATCGTGGGGTTCAAGATACCGTTCAGCAGTAAATGGTGGTAAAGGCTGTGTTTGGATAAAAGATCTGAGTATAACTTTTGGCAACAAGGTGACTTTAAGCCTATCAATTTGACCATCTGGACCAAGTTTGATTGCATAAACCCAATTGACCTGGACAGGTGTCTCTTATGTCGGCTGATGTTACCGTCTTTGAAAACCAGCCATATTCACGTACCTAAGTGATCACTTGGATATTTCTGAGGTGTTACCAGTTCCATTATCTGAGATTCAGTCACCATCACTCTTACATCTTCATCTACCTCTCCAGTTCCATCCTTTGGGATGCAGTTTTTTGTATCCCAAGGACCCAATCACCTTAAATAATAATATTTTCTTGTGCTTTTTCACATGGTATCAAAGCTAGTGTGAACATTTAATCGTGGTGCATTTACCACCGACCAGAATTTTTTTTGTAACTGTACGTCCTTCCAAAGACTAATTTTATTGCCAGTAACTGGGGTTATTGCACCTCAACCAACAACATTCCTTTGCTCACAGAACCCCGACGACCCAACCCAAGAAAACCCGTCACTTATCGACTTCGCACACGCTCTCACGTGCCGACAACAACAGGATCTACGGCGATGCATCAGTCCGTATGGCAAGCGCATGAGACAATTTTCGATCTCCATCTTCGCAGATCTCTTGTTTCTGGGGGTCGTGTGGTTAAATCCAACCAGATCCATCCAAGTTCCTGCCAGCTCCAACAATATCCAGCCTTTGCAATTCCCAGCAAGTTCCTGTTTTAGTTTCAATAGTGTTTCTTCGTACTGGAAGTCTGTCAGGGCTTACAAGTCTCAGCATTTTCTGGACAATTAGAAAAGCAGACATAGGCACTGTTGGAGGTCAGGTGGGTGTATCATGTATGCAGTCAGTGTTGGTTCAGATGGTCTAATTGGAAGACTTAAAGTCCCTTATGCTAAAAAGATATTGTTCTTTTTACTTGTCAAAGTTGGTGCAGATTTTTGGACTAGCATGACTGTACTACATCCTTATGGAACTGCTGTATGGAGAACTATTAGGAATCTGTGGTCCAAGATCATTAGCAATTCCAAAATCAAGGTAGGTCATGGAGGGAAGACCTTATTTTAGGAGGATAGTTGGGTTGGCAATCAAACTTTGAAGTCCAGATTTACTGTTTTATAAAATTTGAACCTACAGAGAAGGGCAACAGTAGAGATTAACATAGGATGGAACTTCAGGTTCAGAAGACCCCTAAATGATTGGGAAGTGTGAGTGGTGATTGGGAAGTGTGAGTTGACAGAACTCAATAGCATCCTGGAACAGTTCCAACACTTAGATACAAGGGAGGACAACTAAGTCTGGACAAGTGACAGGAAGGATAGATTTTCTGTTGAATCAGTAAGTGTTTGCATAGATCCAATACACAACTTGGTAGTTGGCCTTCGAAGATAATAGGGAAAAGGCATAAGTACCCCCAACCTATGCCCCAAATCCCAGAGACACACTTATACTATTCTAAAATCCTATTACCCCCCTGAACATATTTTATAAGTAATTTTATACCCCTTTTCGGCATACATGGCACTATTTTTCTGGCCCAGCGCGTGTTGACATTTTTTTTAATCTAGTGTCACGTATATCGAAAAAGGGTAAAAAAAATATTTATAAAATAAGTTAGGGGATAACAGGACCTTAGTATAGTATAAGTTTGTCTTTTAGTATAAGTGTGTCTCTCAGATTTCGGGCATAGGTTGAGGGGGTACTTTTGCATTTTCCCAAGATAATATGGAAAGTAAAGATTCCATTGAAGGTAGCATGCTTCATGTGGTTACTGGCTAAACAGATTGCTTTAACTCGAGATTATCTTATGAAAAGGGGTTTTCACTTGTGTTCTAGATGTTTCTTTTGTGGAGCTGAATGTCACGTCCCGTCACATCATAGTTAA